CATTTGGATTTTCGTGGTTCTTATTACACTAACTAGGATAAAAATCTCGTGAATTATATAACAAATTATATTTATTAGTCAATACTTCTGCGGCGTCTTGGCCCGGTCGTTCGCATGTAAACAAACATCGGTCGCTTTGCGATTTACGCGACAGCTCCATCACTGCGTGCGTGTCGCTCTCGAGACCGCGTGTCCCCACTCCTGACTCTGGCACTGTGTGCATGTCGCTCTCGCTCTCGCGTGACCCAGGGACCGTGCTCGGAGGGTTAACGGCGGTGGAGCTACGGTCTCTACCCTCGCTTCGGCACAGTTTACTGTTCTATTGGCTTTTCTTAGGCATTTAAAATTTAGATTGCTGCAAATCTGCAGCGAATACCTAAAGGAAACAAAATTAATAACTAGAATAGCATAATGAACCTTATAGTCGCTAAAAACCAAGAAGTTGAAGCGACTTTAAATAACACCTGAGAAGAACATGTATTTTTTGTATTAAGAGTTATGTTTGATTAAAAATAAAATAGCAAAATTACTAAAATAATCATCATTTCGTTATATGTATACCTAATATGTTTATATTTCACAAAAAGATTGCAATGATGCAGATTATAATAAGAAACCATTTTTATATTAGTGTCTTGATCTGATTGAATTTAATTGAAGGAGGAACAAGGTATTTTTTTATTTTCACTGTGTTGTTCAATGATGTGGACACTACTTCAACAGTCTTTGTTGTCCTGGCCATCTATCGACCAACCGAGAGTGGTAACAGTCGCTTCAATATTGTATATGAACATCATTCGATTATATTCCTGTTTTTTTAAACGTTCTTCACTAGGTTCCAGGTCGCTCGTTCAATGATAACATAGTAAATATTTGCTAAAAACTGTTCAATTAAGTGGACATCGTGCTTTAGTTCTGTCTTTTTATTAATCATTCTTTTACAATTCAGTTGAGAGGATATTTAAATTTGTACGTGTAGTTTCTATTGGGAATTAATGATTACAATACCGAAATTTTAATTTTAAATGCACAATAAAATAATAAAGGAACTGTACAGGAAAATGTAACAACCTCCAATTATTTGTGCATATTATCTCACACTATAAATAAATTCAAAAGTAGATTAATATCTATGAAAGTTTTTATGAAATCGAAATTGTTTCTTTGATGAACACAAAATTTGTCACCGTATTTATGTTTTAATGCTAATGATTTTCATTAATTATATCGAAATTTACTTCCTTGTAAATTACTCTCATTGTAATTGTAAATTACCACATTTACTGTAGACAATATCTTTTAAGGTTTAATAAAACAGTTTTTAGGTTTTATAAAGGTTTATAAACAATTTCTGTGAGAATCAATCCTCGTTTAATATAATAATAATTGAATTTTACAATGTATAGAATTAAAATAACTCAATTTATAAACTTATAAAAATTTGTTGACACATTACTTTGTGAGTCAACCGAGTTTTACATAAAATTACTAATAACAGAGATTATTTTATACTTATTTCATATTCTTCTGACATATAAATGGTTATAAGCTAAAATCACACGAACAAGTTTGTGCACATACACGTACAGTTCTAATTCACTATCACTCTTCCCCCTGTTCACAAACCAATTTCATTATAAGTCAGTACACATCAGCACAAAAGAATAAAAGATTGAAAAGTAATACTCATCATATTTTTGCTATATAAACGATGAATAACTTTATCAGATGCCTTTGCACTTTGTTTCTGTTATGAACCTCTTTGGAACTCCAAACAATTCTTAATTATCCAATTAAAGTACGATGTTCCTTTATAAGTTCTTTTGAGAAGTTGGATCGTATTGTTTCATCTGTGTTTTCAAACTTAAATCAATTAAAATAGAACTTGCTTGTTATTATTCATGTATGTATATTGTTTGAAACTTATTAAGCATTTGACATTTACGTTTGAAAATGTGTGGTCTTCTCCGCACATTTCAGAAATATTTATGCTTATGGAAGTCTATCTTTAACCCTCGAAAAATTAATCATGTCCTAATATCACAAAGGATCAGTACCTCGTCTGTTAAAATCCATTCCAAATTTTTCATTATGAGTTTTTTATACTCGATTTTTAAAACACTAAATATTATTTTATAATATTTGTATTATTTAAAGAAGTGAGTGTGTTTATATACCAATTTGTATTTTATTAAATACATATTATTAATCTATATAAAGCTTACCAAAAATTTTCAAACGACTAGTAGCAGACATTCAAAATCTCTATTTTGTAGCCATTCATGATTTGTCAAATGTGACCCACTATTGACTGCACGAGGGTTAAATCAAGCTTCCAGTCTAGCATCGCACACTTTCATTAATTGTTTTGCAAATTTTCGTTATCCATTTACAGTTATTTATAAATGTACTGTATATATCATACATTTATAGCATGTTTTATAAATGCTGTTAAAAATGAGAAATGTTCGGTAAGTTTAATAAACATTTTATTACATTTTTATTTCAATTAACTCTTTAATATTAGTAATGAACAGACTGCGGATTTTATACATTTATCGCATACTCAGGTGTCTACAATGTAGTGCAATAAAACGTTTAATGAAACGCAACGAAGTTTTCATTTCAGATCGAACCTAAAAGAATTCTTAATAAAGATATTTCTATTTGATCCAATTTCTGTTAATTTCTCCGGATAAATTTATATTTGCATAAACACCCACTATAAATGTCTACTAATGAATTTTCGTTTATCTATCATTATAAATCAATATGAAAAAATGACGCTTAATATAACGATTCGTAGTCTACTCGTACCTAAGGAACATGATCTTCTATCAATCTTAAATATGCCTTAGGTAAGTAACCCAATTACGGATGGTGACCATATTGTCAGTTCCGCTTTTATTCGGATGAATTAAAACATTTTCAATTTAAACTCTTTTATTCAATAAGTTTTGTAATTTAATGTTGAATCTGACAATTTGATCTTGATTCCTCGAACAGTCTAAGCAAAAGTGCTAAGAAATCCTACATGCACGAAAGTAAAGATAAATAATATGCTTTTATAGAATAAAATAAAATAAAAAACATACACACACGCGCGCGCGCACACGCATATCTACTAAATATTATACTTTTAATAAGACACTTCATAATAGATGCGAAAAAGATTTTTTTTCGATCGTTCGATACTTTACTAATTTTTAATTATTCCATAAAAATTTATTTTTGGGTATTCCAGAAAAATGAAACTTACTAGAGAGCTGAAAGGAAGTAATTATCAATAATATCTTATTATTTCTTAAGAAAAACAAGCTTATCGGGCTACTAATCTGTCCGCAATTGGGTCATTTACCATGCATGCTCCATTCGTTTCAATTTCCTTCAACATAAAAACTACGTAGAAGTATCTTACACCAATCTACGTTACCAGAACACGCTGTTACAAGAATCATATCTTGCAACCAACCGAATTACGGTCACCGACTCCTCTGAGTTGAACAACGAAATTTTTCCATCATTCGTGAACCTGATTACTTTCTCCCGATCGGATGGCCGGCTAATAACGTACCACGTGGTCCATGATTTACATTCAATAGACTTTTTATTCCGTCCGGTTTCTTACACATGTTCTATCGGCTAATATTTCTAGCCGAGCGGCTCTACATTCCCAGCCATTATCGTAACGAAAGTTGAACCAGTTTTTCTGAACGCGGAGGAAGGTCCATAGAAATCCTTGGGCGGATAACCGTCAGATGAAATCACGAAGGAGGCGAATCCGGGGGAACACCTTCTCGGGACGATTTATCGCGATGTCGATAACGAATTCCGAGGTGATGAATAAGAAGTTATCCAGCTTGAAAATTCGAAGTCGCCGGAACGTCGACCCAGCCTAGAAAAATGAGTTCTCCAACGGGCCGTGATACCCCTAAACCGCAGACAGTTTTTCCTTCGTCAGAATAATGCGACTTCTAATTACGTCGTGTTCCTGACAGTTCTAATCGGTGACAGGAGGTCTTATCCATGCAATGTTTAGTGAGTTTGGAATAAAATGCAGATTAGACGACTAAACGGTCAGTCGAATGTTATTTTAAACAGCTTTCCCTTAATTGTACTATTAACCCTCAGACAACGGTGTACGGGTACACCCACGAGCAAACTCGGCTTTCGCTAGAGGAAAAATGGCGTAGAAGAAACGTCTCCTTATCACTTCGTAAGTTTATTTTAAGTACTGAAATAAATGTTAAACCGAATGTTAATTTTGGTACAAATTTCAGTAATTCCCAATACCAAGTGGTAGAAAGTTCTTCTTCCACTAGGAGAAAAAGTGGCGTAGGAGAAGGACCTCCTCCAATCTGATAAATTTATTTCAAAAACTGAAATAAATGGTAAATTGAATGTTAATTTGACATATATTTCAATTATTTCTGAAACCAAATCACAGGGGGTCTTTTCCCTGTGTCACTTTTTCCCCTAGCGGAAGCCGAGTTTATTCGCGGGTGTACATGTGGACCCAGGATTCCATAAAAACTAATAATTGTAGTGTCCATTTATTCCTAGTAGCATTTTATAAGAAGACCAACAGATTCTGAAGAAATTCGTTTCAAAATATATCTAAAGACCGGCGCGTAGGGGTCCATCTGGACCCAAGTACCGTCGTCTATACAATCATCACAAACGTCTGCCTGTCAAAGATTAACACAGGGATAGTGTACTCCCAAAATAAGGGTTCAAACTGTCTGGATGTATTCTATTTATTTCAATAGTACTAAAAGTGCTGGGAATTTGAAAATTTTATCTTTTAGACATGGGTTACTTGAAGCCGGTCTATGACTAATTTGCAAGAAACGTATATAAATGACAATTAAAAACATGAAAACAATCGTGATGCATAGTACCATGGAATACAAGTTAATTTTCTAATGACAAATATATCGAAATTTATAGTAAATGCATTAACAAACATTTGTAAATACATTAAATTGAAAAATTCTAACATGGTCACGATGTATTTATAGACTTACGGTTATTTGATTCTTTTTCAATATACTTCAACACATGTTAAGATTCTTAAAGTTTGTTTCCTTGTTTTAGAAGCATCCTTATTTACATGTTGCTTACCGTATTACTGAAGGCCGCCAGTGTACGAATATTAGAAGAGAAACCGCGATTACCTGTACAAACAAATTTATTAGCTAGTAAGCGGTGAAACAAAATAGGGGATAAAGAAACGGAATTATAAAAAGAATCATTGAAAATGATCATTTATGTGTACTTAAACATTTGTATTCTAATATTATGTGTATCTTGTTTTCAGTTGACTTGGACTTTACATCCTACAGTGACCTACAGCGAGATAAAAACAGATATAAGAACAAATTCTATACATATAGAAGCACTGTTTTTTGAAAATAGGGAACCTGCTTACGTACTTAATACAAATGGAAAATATTATTTTATGAAGATTAAAGGGAAATCGTAGAGAAAGTAACCTATTGTATAGGTACAGTTCAGTGTATACATATATCTTTAGGAGATCATCAGAGTTTTTATATAAATAATGTCAAAAAAATGTTAAATAAAGACGTATATTTTTAAATTTTCTATCGAATATTCAAAATTTGTACCCAATTTTAATGTTCATAATAATAACTAAAAAAAGTGCAATTCCGGAGACATAAAACCATCTAAAGGCAGGCATCTCTGAGAACGGTGGTAATTTCCTTAAATGATTGAAAATGATCGAAATTTTCGATAGTATACACCAATACTGAAAAAATTATTGTTTGTAGGTTGTAGCGTTTGTTAACACTAGGTTTACGAACATTTCTTATATACCTATCTCTACGGACACGCGTCGAATTGACGCGTGAACGAAATCGCATATTTTCCTTAAAAAAACAACTTATTTTATTTAAAAACAACGTAATTATACACTATTAACTTATAAATGAACGTAACCCGAACGTTATGAATGTAACGTGGTGGGAGGGTGAATTTATATGCGTGAAAGTATCTACGTGTGGTGGGGAAATACAATCTCGCGTGGCCATATGCTTAGTGGCAATATCGTTAAAGTCCATTGTATCTCCGCTGCATTGTTTGTATTTACTTTTGATATTTATTTTCTATGAACTTTTTGATTACGGTCATATTTATTGCTGAAGTAATGCTTTTATGAATCAAGCTCGTTTACTAGGATTAATACCTACTCAATTTACGATCGCATCAAATTGGCGCATACCCGTAGAGATAGGTATACCACGTAGAGAATTCCGAGATTAAAAGGCTTAGAAGAAAATGAATTGGGATATATATTTGTCTCGTTAAAACAATAAAAGTCAGCATAAATGATAGTAGAGAAATGTAAACGGTTTTGGTCATTTTCCTTGTAAAATACAAAATGCGTCAAAATGACGCGTCCCGTAAACTTAGTGTTAAATATCAAGAAATTTTTATATCTAATTAAGTAGCCCATCTCGCCGTTAAGAGGGGATTTTATGCCTTGAGCACAGACTTAAATAAAATGGGTCAAAGGAGTCAAAAAGTAGAAAATTCAAGCTTTAATGTATTTTTCATAGTAAGAGTTTTATATTAATTTTAACAATATTATGAAGCTGTAAAGTTTGACAACTTTTCAGTAGTATTCAAGTGATACAATACATTTTTCCAGTAGCGTATATTTAAACGAAAGCAATAAAAAAATAAAATTGAATGCTATTAAAAAGTTATATTAATTACGTGTGACCTTGTTACTATTCTTAGGTAAGTATAACATTTGAAGCACTTAAGTTAGTCGATTACAGAAGTAGTCGATGTAACATGTGTGTCGAAGTGAACGGATCATTTGTAATGATGACAGAATCAGGTTATTCGGACTTGAATCGGGTATAGAGATTAGACGGTTAAGAATTTAAAGATTAAGCAAAGGTTATTAAGACAAAATGACATGGCAAAGCATGGAATAATGATAATCACAAATTTTTGTATCAGTTTTTGTAGTTGTTATACACACTTCTTGTAGTTACAATTAAGATAAGACATAGAAAAATCAATTAAAACTCAAAACAACTGGATAGTTGTTAAGTTAAATGAATTAATTGCAAACAAAAGACCAAAACAAATTTTAATACTAGAATATAGTAATTATTATGTAACTTAATTTACAATTATATGTAATACATTTTATCGCAAATAAGTGAAACTAAATGAATTACAACTGAAGCTCACTCGATATCATTAAATATCTTACATTGACATCGTCGTTAATCACATTTCCAACTTTTAGTAATCTTAAACGATGTAAAATTATTCGAATACAAATTGTGTTGTAGAAAATATTATGTAAACAAGAATTACTGGGGATTTGTCTTGGATATTCGTAAAGTTTCTAAAATATGAGTTTTCAAAATATTAAAATCGAAAATATATTCCAGACGATAAAATAAACTGAATCGATTAAAACTAAGTGTATCAAAATATATTGTAACAATTTCAGAATAAATTAGAAAATAAAAAAATAGGAGTTCATATGAAAATCTGTTTTTGTAGGAAGATTTAAGGCAACTGCTAAAATTTACAGTTGTAGTTGTAATGCAAGCTGTTATTGTTAAAATTCGTATACACTTGAAAACTTTAAATGATTTTCTGATTCACTGTAAACTGATGTAACTCCCAATTGGTTGTAACAGAAAGTATCGAAATACGAAAATGTCTGTAACTTCAAAAGCAAGTTAATTAGATTACATGTTCGTATAAACTTCGTTTCTCAGTTCCACGTGGTCGACTTACCATGAAACTCGCATAATTAAATACACTCTGTATAATCATGGTGTTAATCAAGGATTTGTAATGATAATACGAATGTAAGTGATCATATATTTATTAAATATATGTAAAAGTAATGGTCACGACTTTTATATAGGTATTATAATTTCATTCTATTTTATGGACGGAAAATTCAACTTTTTTTAGAAAAATAGTAGGAACATATAAATATGAGGGGAACTACTTCCAGTAACATTTGCTGCAGCGGTTGTTTAATATTACTCAAGATAATCGAGAAAACGACTACAACTATTAGTAAATTGAAAGAAATCTTAATAACCAAACTTTCTATCACCCAAATTATAATATCAAGGTGAACCAATAAGTAATCCACTATCTTTTGTTGAATTCGGTATTTTCTAAAAGATTGAATTATATTTTCTAGGAAATTCGAGGGCCACGTCATTTTAGTGATGTTTGTCTGGATTTTTCAATATTCGCTATCAATTAAAAAAAAAAAAACTAAAGAACAAAAACATAATCAAAATGTAAACTATTTTACTAGTTTATTAAAATGAAACAGTGGAATACTCATTGGTAGCACACCTAATAATTTCCATTCTTCAAAAATGTTGATATTTGTGCCTACAGTTTATTACTTGTTGAACACATCAAACATTTTTCAATGTTGAAGGTTTTAGTTTTTTCGAAATATTGGGTTGGCAAGAAAGTATTTTCGGTTGTGGCACATAGATAGCGTTGTAAGCGTTTTGAAGGACTCCTGTCTGCGTTATGGTTTTTTCCTATTGACATTTGATATCAGTCACATTTAGGTTACTTCAGAAGCAAGTTGTGCAAATTTTTGTTTGTAGCTGTTAGTTCAGGGTCAATTTTAACATGGAGTGCAAAAACGAACATTTTCGGCATATTTTACTCTTTTATTTTCGTAAAGGAAAGAAAGCTGCTGAGGCCCACAAAGAGATATGTGAAGTTTATGGTGTTGATTGCATAACAGATCGCACGTGTCAGAATTGGTTTAAAAAATTCCGTTCTGGAGATTTTTCACTCAAAGATGACCAACGTTCTGGTCGACCTACTGAAGTTGATGATGACCAAATCAAAGCCATAATTGAAGAGGATCGTCACATAACTGTTCGAGGGATTGCAGAGAGGTTAAATGTATCGCATACAACAATTGTCAACAATCTCAAGCGCAATGAAGCCGATCCTTTTTTGAAACGTATCATCACGGGTGATGAAAAATGGGTCATGTACAGTAACATTATTCGAAAACGATCATGGTCCAAGCGTGATGAACCAGCACAATCCACATCTAAAGCTGAATTGCATCAAAAAAAGGTCATGTTGTCAATTTGGTGGGACTACAAAGGTGTTGTGTATTTTGAGTTGCTTCCAAGAAACCAGACGATCAATTCAGATGTTTACTGTCAACAACTATTGAAACTGGATGAAGCAATAAAAGAAAAACGGCCAGAATTGGCAAATCGCAAAGGAATTGTGTTCCACCATGATAATGCAAGGCCTCACACATCTTTAGTAACTCGTGGGAAATTACTGGAGCTTGGTTGGGAAGTGATGTAACATCCCCCATACAGCCCTGATATGGCACCATCTGATTACCATTTATTTCGAAGTTTGCAAAACTCTTTGAATGGTAAAACTTTTACAAATGATGATGACCTTAAGTCGCACTTGGTTCAGTTTTTTGCTGATAAGGACCAGAAATTCTATGAGCGCGGAATCATGAAGCTGCAAGAAAGATGGCAAAAGGTCATTGAACAAAATGGAAAATATATAATTGATTAAAGTTTATTCTTTGTATAAAAAAAATGAGTTTTATTTCACACTACAAAACCGAAATTACTTTCTTGCCAACCCAATACATAGGTTTTTGACTTTAAGGTCACATTGGACGGTAGTACGTTTTCAAATGACCAACAGTATTGCAATTTTCAGATTACATTAATGTGGCAAAAAAACCTCATTTTCTCAATAATAGTAAAACTGGTATGTGACATCGAAATTACACTGGCTAGTGGATGGATGGTTAACAGAAAATAACCATTCGTTATTCTAATTACTTGATTTAAAAATCACGGTAACGAAGACCCTGATTTTTACAGGAACTATAAAGTAGAGGACATAAACAACGGAATTGGAAAGTGAGCCCGGAATGATCATACGGGATTATTTTCCTCTTAACTCGAGCGGGAGTCTGACATCTCGAAAGGCGGAATAATTTAAAGAACACGTAGCGTTTTATTATTCGAGTGAAAATTTCTATCTCGCGTACAGTGCAAAGTAAACCGCATATTAATCCCGGAAAAAGACCAAAAACTCCGATCTGATACAATTTTTCACACCTAAAATAAACGGTGTAAAATAAATCTGCTTTTTCGTCTTTAATGTTTAACGTCGCGTCCCTCAATGGATTATTTCTATGAAAAAGCTGGCCAAAATTATTTTGTTAATGATTGACGTAACCAAGTACACTTAGAAATAATGAAATTTAATTATTTCAAACAATTTTACACGTCAATACACAGGAGAATGAAAAATGTAGAAATAAGCCGATTTATATGTATACATGATTCAGTTTATCATGTCATTTTCGTAATGCGACTCTCGATTGTAGAGTTGCATATACAGGGTGTCCCACCTAACTCTGCCACCCTTATTTATTGTCTTATTTGTTATGGTACAAAAAAATGGTTCGGACGAAAGTTAGTGTATTTTGGGGGGGGGGGGCAATTAGGCTATGAGATTGAAGGTCGTCTCAAGGTAATATCTTCTGAGATTTCTCTAATGGTAACGTTTTTTAAAATGGAATTCTGTATTTTTTTTCTTTGCTATTACAAAGAGGAGATCAAAACGTATCCAACAATGTATCACACGATGGGATGACAACACTTTGAACATACACTGAAATAATAAATAATGCGGCTATGGTGTTTATTTTGTTTCTGCAATTCATGTTTTTCTCCAAAAAAATTATCAGCCCAAAGTTATGTCAAGGTCATAGTGTGATACATTGTTGAATACGTTTTGATCTCCTCGTTGTAATGGCAAACAAAAGAAATAGGGCATTCCATTTAAAAAAACGTTACCATTAGAAAAATCTCAAAAGATATTACCTTGAGATTACATTCAATCTCGTAGCCTAATTTCCCCCCTAAAATACATTATCATTCTCCCAAACCATTGTTTTGTACCGCGACAAATAAGAGAATAATTAAGGGTGGCAGAGTTAGGTGGGACACCCTGTATGAGTAAAGCAAAATATGCCTTCCCTTTCTGTTCCGGCGATCAGTGTCGATAACATAGTCATCTACGTTGCTACGAGATACAAACGATTAAAAATGTTGAAAATCGTTGTTTTTCCCAACTTTCGATCTACAACTGTAGTAAATCTAACAATTCTCCCATCTTTTGATCTCTGTCGCTCGTTTCTGTATTAACCGATGTCAATGAAAGTTTAAGTATGTACATAACTAACATAAATCTTCGATATGTATTTATTAAATTTTCATTATAGCCTCAGATTAGAAAGTTGTTAAACACGACCTTTAATATTTTCTTCGCGATTCGGACCAATTGCAACTTTTTCAAAGTTTTTTTTCACATCTATTAGTAAATTAATGTCTCTAACTTCACAAAAAAACTCAAGTCATTTGGACCAGTTTTAGAATAGAGTTGTTCCGTTTTAAAGGGTGTACGAATACTTTTTACACTCACTGTAAATGTATGTATAGACGGAGCATAAGCTACCACTTGGGCGAGGGAACCGTAGGATTGGAGGGGAAAAGACAGCGGTCGTTAGATATACGTCACATAGCTTCGGATGCATTCGGCTCGATTCGGCTCGTTATTAATGGCTGGTGGGCTGTGTGCTATACTATTATTTAATGCTTTATACTATTTATTAATTTTGTTAAATTCATATATCTATACAAATTACATGACATACGGAATTTTTAACGTATAATAAGTATATTCTTTTCATCTCTCATAGCATACATGTATGAAACGTGATTGTATACCCGAAGAGCACCGAAAAGGAACGAAGTTACCCGATTTCTAACTAACCACCCCCTTACCGCGAATCTTACTCCCCCGCTCAGTTCATGCTCCGTCTATATACGTCTATGTTCTGTACCCCCTTGTCTACGTGCTTGACAGTGTCCGCCATGCATTTGTATACAGGGTGTAACAAAAATGTTGGAGGACCTGGAAATGGGAGGCTCGTGAGGTAATTTGAAACAAGTTTTTCCTTAGTAAAACTGTTATCCGAGGCTTTGGTACCGAGAATATTAACGAACAACCCTGGTTAATCAGAGCGCGAGTTTGACCAGCTGAGTTCCCGCGGTAACATTGGGTACCAATCGCAGCGCGTACAGTTTCCCTCCGTTCACCATGATATCCGTGAATCTATTCCTGCACGCTCAAACACTATCAATTGTAAAGAAATTTGTTAATGATATATTGCATAAATTAATAGGATTCCTTTTTTTTCTGATTCTTCTTCTCCAGTTGATTCTTCTATTTTTAAATCTACAATTGCATTTAGGTTTAAAAATTGGTTATTTACAGAAATCCGTACCATTTTCTTCTCTGGAGAAGTTAACAGTGACCCGAAGTTCGTTAGAATACCGTCACATTATAACATGATGGAAATCTAATTCGCATGTGGCATTAAAAGCATGCACGATCGTATGACTGGACGTTTCAGAATAAAGAATTACCTACTGAATACCAAATGCACATATTTTTTACGGTTATGTAAAATACATAAAGTATGTACAAATATACATATAACTCAGTGCATACTAAATATTCCATGCACGTATTTTTTACAGCTTTGTCTTAATACTTTACGCAGCGTAGATTTTCCCGTAACTTTGTAAAATTACATGAAATATTCTTATACTATGTTTGTTCAGTGATTTTCTTTGTATTCTAAAATAGTCGCTTGCGGCTTTGGATAATTCTTCTAAAGTAATAGTTATACTTTCAGGAGTTCAGGCGAATTATTTCGATACGTGAAATATAATTTTACATGAACCAATATAGAAAAATACTTCTATTTATTCTATATCGTACATACAATCTATCGAATTGATTTTTCAAAAAATCAATTTTAAAAGAGTCTCCGTATATTATACTATAAATTAGAGCCGTGACTTTGTAAGATACCGGGCTACTCGAGTACCGATAAGATACCCCAGTAAACAAAAATTACCCAGGTACCCGAGATGGTCTGTAAATATCAAGAAAGGTTAATTGATTCCAACCGTATTATATACTGGATTAAAATATTTGGAAGTACAATGTACGGAGACGTTTCTGACCCTCTGTATGTTCAAGGTTCGCAACGAAAGAACCTCAGACCCTGAATACTTAATAAAAATGCCATGTATAACGCGTTCCGTGCTTCAATATCGCAAAAGATCGTAATTCGCAGCATCGCAACATTCATCTAACGACGACGTCGCTGTTTTTATGCCCGCGGTAAAAAAAAAGAACAAAATACGGTCGAGAATTGTGTATCGTTTCTCCATTTATCACGAACCGCCAGTTAATGGAAAGTATTGTAGCCCACTATGTACCCATCAATTAATGCGTGTATACAGATTAAACAGACGGAAGAGAAACGCAACCATCCGGATTAAACGCTCGCGTTTGAACGCCGGCCATTAACGCGCGCGCCCGTGTACATAGATTTATTCTTTCTTTGCCCGCACGATTAAATGTTGTCTTACGGACGGCCGTCTTTTATGGCAAACGATAATTCGAGGATATTTCTCATTTGACATGGCGCTCCAAATACAGGATGTTCAATAGAAAGAGGTCTAAGACTTTAGGTGCTTATAGTACTCACCGAGTGCAGTAAAAAATGTCTAATCGGTAGACTGCGAATTTTTATGCAAAATAACATTTTCTAAAATAATTCATAAGGACAAAAACCGAATTTGGAATTTCCATCTTCCTTTAACCCTACGAGCACAGTCCATGGGTCACGCGAGAACGAGAGCGACATGCACACAGTGACAGAGTCAGGAGTGGAGACACATGGTCTCGAGAGCGACACGCACGCAGTGACGGAGCTGTCGCGTAAATCGCATAGCGACCGATATTTGTTTACATCCGACCGACCGGGCCAAGACGCTGCAGAAGTATTGATTAATAAATATAATTTGTTTCATAATTCACGAGATTTTTATTCTAGTTAATGTCATAAGAACTGCGAAAATCCAAATGTAATGTGGAACCAGCTAATCATTACATTGTATGCATGGTGACGGTGGCTCGAGCTCGAGCAACCGCTAGTGCGTAGTAATATCGGTGAGGGTCTCGAGCTCGAGCCATACTTGCACTGGTTAGTACAGTGTCGGTGAGGGCCTCGAGCTCGAGCCTCGCCGTCGCTGTTTAATAGCAGAATATCGGTGTGGGGTCAGAAATGACATAGGGACCGGTGACCATGTTTCCGTGCTCGGAGGGTTAAGTATCCTATCGGATTAAAAATAAAATAGAAAATTCGTTGCATCTGACGGAAGTTATGTTTTTTGCTGGATTTCACAGAG